TATTTAGGAATTTGTCTTTTTTAAATTATCTTTTATAATTTCATATTCTAGTTGTAATAGGTTTATTCTTAAATTTTGTTTAGATTAGGATTAGTTTATTTCATTTTAGAATTTAGTTTCCTTATATTAATAGAATTAGTGAATAGTTTTGTCTATAAATACAAAGTCATTGTACATTTTTTCAAAAAACAATCAATTATTATTCAATACATAGTACATACAAGACATGATTGTTCAAATATCATTCTTATTTATTACATAATTCTTATTACAAGAATTTCATAAACACTTTCGTACCAAAATTGGTATCAGAGCAAGGAATTCACCTCAATCTGATGGTCGACGATGGTCCTTGTGGCACGAACAGAGGCTCGACAAACTCGAACAACGAATCGAGGGGATCGATGAAACCCTTCATAACATTAAACAAATGGTGACTGCGTTGAGTCTTAAAAGGAATCGCGAGCCCATGGATAAACAAGCTGACNAAAGGCTTGACAAACTCGAACAACGAATCGACGGGATCGATGAAACCCTTCATTACATTAAACAAATGGTGACTGCTTTGAGACTTAAAAGGTATCACGAGCCCATTGATAAACAAGCTGACAAGAATTTGAAAACTTTAACTGCTATGAATGTCGTGTCAATGAGATTGAAGATTGACAAGGATTACGAAGATTACGGAGATTGCATCTACCATAAATATATTATATCTATCTAATTGATTATAAATTATTGTAATTAGTCTTGTTACTATATTTAGGATGTATACAATTTTTATTTAATGGAAAAACCCTCAAACTGGAAAAGCATTCAGCCAAAACATTGATATGGGATCAAAGCCATCATACCTGTAGAAGAAATTGCTGACTCATCTGCTATTCCTCAGTTCTTCTCCGGCGTCTCTGTGGCCGATTGTCGGCGTAATCGACGCCATTCCTGCGTCTTGTGTGCGAGTAATCGATACGATTCCTACATCATGTGCTTGCTTCCATTCTGGAACTTTGTTGGATCTCCATTTGAGGGTGGGCCTTTGTTGGAGTAGGTTGTGTTGGTAAGCTAATTTTTGGATTGAGTTGGAGTGGGCTTAGGCTGATTTTAGGATTGAGTTGGAGAGGGCATGCAAATTAATTATGGGGTGATTTTAGGTGTAACATATTTGGGCTTCCATTTTGGATCCGGGTTGGGTGGGTTTGCAATTATTTTTCTGTACTGATTTTAGGTGGCAATTGATTTGGGCTACAATTTGGTTCCTGTGTGGATTGATTTTGTTTAGGTTATATTTTTTAATTCCCTATATTACAAAATATGTCGGTTGACACATTTTGTGTTAAGTTCACGGGGAAAAATTATTCTATATGGGAATTTCAATTCAAGATGTTCTTAAAAGGGAAGTAGCTTTGAGGTCATATTGATAGGTCATCTAAAGCCCCTGATGATACAAAGGATCTCAATGCATGGGAAACACAAGATGCTCATATTATCTCTTGGATCCATGGAGGCACATATGGTAAATAATTTACGCTCTTTCACTATTGTTGAGGAGATGTAGGATTAATTGAAGTAGATTTATTACCAAGACAATAATGCACGGCGATTTCAGTTGGAGTTAGAAATTGCTAACTACACTCAAG